ATTACATTACATTACATTACATTACATTACATTACATTACATTACATACATACATACATATACATGTAAACATAGCCTTAAAGCAATCAAACACATCGACATACATCTGGAGGAACTTTGCTCGTCTGCTAGTTCGTATGCAAATTGTGCGACAAAAGTCCGAGAAAAGCGTGTCACGCCTGCGTTCTGGTGTTTCACTCTCATCGAGTAGGCAGCACCGGTCCTTGCAACCCGAGGCACCATCTCAACAGGGCTGGGTAACTGCAAGAGTCAAAAGCTACTCATCAATACCCCACAGCAACATTGGATTGGTCACATTGCCTATGTGCCTTTCTGCATCAGACTGCAAGTTCCAACACTCACTGGCCTTCAGGATGCTTGCGGGCAGCGTCTTGGCCTTTCTGCCAGATCTTGTTGCATTGCACATGACCTAAGTGTGGTTGGTGCATCTTGCTAACAAAGGAGGTATCATATCAAATTGGCAGTTGAATCTTGCACCTGTTGTGGTCTCCCAGTAGCGCAGGGCGCGAGAGCAAATATAAATACAACGAGCACGACTTATTGATTTTCAAGCCCAGGGAAAGAAACAGGAAATATCCAAACAACTAGCAAGCCAAAGAAACCAACAAACATTCTATTAGGACGAAGCAAGAAAGTGCACAAGCTCGAAACTTGAAACTCTATGCAGCCATATGGTTCACAGGAAGCAGTGAGCCAAGACAATTGCTTTGCTGAGCTGAGTTGAAAACGGGTTTCAACCCGACCGAAGCTGGAGGTTTTGAGCCCAAACGTGTGATGCAGGTCAAGCAAACGTGCTACACATAAGACAAACAGCTCAAATTCGTTGCAAAGCCAAATCCAACGTGCCTGCAGGAACGAACCAAGTACAAGTGTGCGCTGCATCGAAATCGCGGCTGCGAAAAAGCTGTCTTACACAGCAACCATGGTTGCAGGTTGTTGCAAGTTGCAATCCGGGATTGCGGTCTGTGGTGGTCTGTGGTGGTCTGTGGTCTGAATAGATCCCATTATTCCTCTCCTGTCCCAAAGCTGGTTGATTGATGTCGATTGCATCATTTAGGTGTCATTGAACGAATCCTCGGTGTCATAGACATATATGTTGCATTCTATGTTGATCTGTGGACTCTTGAAAGCATTAGAAGCGTTACAGTAGACACCTTTCTATTTGGCAAGAAGCTTCGTTCGGAGCAAAGAGTTCGGCCTGGCTGAAAACGCCAAGGAAACCTGCATCGAACATCTGGAGAAAAACAATCAGCAATCTTCTTTTTCTGTGCCGTGTTCGAGCTAGATGTGACACTGCAACCTTGTGGAAGGCGGAAAGGCAACTTTGCTTCGCAATGAGTTGGAAAGCTTTTTGCATCAACACGTTGCGAAGGCAGAAGTCAAAGAACCATGCCATGGAAAGACTCTTTGAGCGCATCGTCCTTCGAATGACCCACGGTACAACAAAGAAAAGTACAATTATATACAATTATAACTACACCATCCAAGCGCTTGCTCTCCGTGACAGTATCAGTACATACCAGTACCATTTGGCAAAGGTGATGTCCATCGGAACTCTTCGCCTTTGGCGAATTCTGCCCAGATGCCGAACCGCTACAGAATTACAAAAGCTTGGCCTCCGCCCCTTGGGTCTGTAGTTTGGGTGCATTGTGGTAAATCTTGGCTTCAGGGCGAGAACATGGGTAGCGTCACAAGTCATTTGATTGCTTCAAAACATCTCTCAGCAGTTGCGGGCATGGCTTGCAAGGAGCTGTTGCTGCCCATTTAAAGAGCCCTCGCTCCGACCCTCAAACATTGCCGATGCTGCACTGATTTGGGCAGTCCTCATAGGGGAACTCGCCATCCTTCGTAGCATTGGGCTTTGTCTGGGACTTCAAGTGCTTTCACAGCTAACACAAGTCTCAACAAATACACGCAACAACTACGGCTTTGGTATCTAGTCCATGCACTGGCAAAACAAATTGTCTGCGTCTGTTGGCGCTTTCCAGCGCACCAGTCCAACCTGTTGAAACCTTAAAGTCTCCCTTCGTACCAAGGCATTGCCAAGACATGCCAAGACACTGCCTTGGGTCGGCATGCACCCCGAGACAAATCGTAGGCTTTTTGAGACGTCTGGGCGGCCAGTTTGTGCAGGCAATGGTATCCTCCTGTGAATTCATGCTGTGTTTGCTTGGGCACAAGCCTGAGATCTGAGATCAGCCGACATCGAACAGCTCCTGTTGGCCCGCTGAGCCACGCATCAGGGCAATTGTTCGTCCCAGCAGGGCCTCAGAAATGCTCAGTGCATTTCATTGGCTCTAGGTGATTCGACCTCAAAGTGATGTGCTTCTTATCACTTGGCATCACTTGGCTATGAACACTTCTCCCACCCTGTCGCCTGTCGCACATACACACACAACATTCACTGGAGCTGCTTTTCCACGCATCTTGCAAGGTCTCATTTCGGTCTCAGTGCACGCCGGTAGAAAACTAAAAAAACAAGGCTCACTCCGATTGCACTGAAAAGTGCAGCTTTCTGCACGCTTCCCCAGTGCACTCTCACACTGGACTGGGTCTCCAAATTAGACTTTGTAGTCACTCTGGAACAATTTGCTGCGCTGAACTGTCGGCTCCCGAGTCTCCCGCCAGGTCTCCACTCTGGCGTCGGCAGCAACTCAAAAGTGCCAGGCTCTGCTTCGCAGGTCTCTGTACTCAGCGCGTACTCTGACAACTCCTGAAGCTGGCTGGGTCCAAGAAATTGGCCAAAGGAAAAGAAGGGAAAGGCACCGGTTGGGGAGGTTGGTGAGATCGGTGATTTTCGGTTTGCTACACATTATGGTTGAACCTGTATACAATCATCTTGGCTGGTGGTCCTTGATGATTTTCTCCCTGATGAAGTGTGACATCATTTGCAGCTCTGCAAAGTGTTCATCTGGCATCTGCTCCTCTCCCAGTTCTGAAACGTCAGCCTGGATACCGATAAGATACCAAAGATCTTCACCAGTCTTCGGGTTTCCTTAGCTTAGCTTCTGAATGATTTGGTAGAAAGTTCAGCTGCGTCTGTCTATTCTTCTAAACATACTTCTACTGTAGAGTATTTTTTTGGTCAAGCAAACACTCAACGTTTTTTTGTCCTTTCAGGCATAAGCTCGTGCCACTGTCAGGCCGCGGACATCAAGCAAATTCAGGAAGAGTTCGCCAGATCTCTTTCTGTTGGGTAAAATGGCTGTGAAAGGCGCCCCTGTTGCACTCGCTTCGCGCAGGTGAATGAGGTCCTGCAAAAAAGCATAGTCAAATGCATGGAGATACAAACCTAGCCGCGTGCAAAGCCCTTTGAACAACCCTAGAACGCTTCAGAAGTCTCAGCGTTGTCTCCTGTGGATTCATATCCACACCCTGGTTGAGGAAGCGACAGTTGACGCCTAAGATCTCATTCCTGGTGTAGCCTGTCATTGTCTCAAATTCCTCGGACACTGCGATCAGTGGAAAGTCCTCTCCATGAGGGTTGGCCACGGTCACGCAGAATTTGCACTCCTGCGTGCCATGAAAAGACATGGAAAGGCTTAAAACTTAAAATGCAAATGATTGAGGAACACCACCCAAGTGTTCTTGATCTGTCTTGATTTCGAGCAGAACACTAATTAAGTCCAGTGCCCATCCTGGGCCATCCTAATTACGGCTTATCAGCGCTCCCGATCCGGGTTGGAAGGGGGTGACCCAATCTCCCCATCTTCGAGTTTGGTCTCTTTCTTTCTCCCTCTTTCTCTCTCTCTCTCTCTTTCTCTCTCTCCTGCACCGCAGATTTAAAAGCCTGGGCGACAATGGCATCATTGACGGCAGTCACTAGTGCAGCGTCCACTTGCTGTTTTGCCTGTTCGCTCTGTATCCGACTGAATCCATCGACATTCGCCATCAGTCCCAGCCCGCCAACTTGAGCTGTCAACGGCTGGAGGCAAGAACAGCCCGCAAAGCCAACTCTTAAACACGGTGTTGATCAGCTGCATGGTGAGATCGCTCATGAAAGCGCTGTGCCCCTATATAAGGACCAACAACTGAATTGCTGAATGCTGCTGTCACTCTAGGCAGTCAAGGTGCAAGGAGGAATTGTTGCTTTTCCCTCCACAGGTACATCCGCTCCTTTGTGTGTCCTAAGTCATGAAAAATGCAACAAGTCTCCGACGAATTATTGATGAGGGTTGGGGACCCCAAACAATCATGCAGCAAAGTCTGGAATCAAAGGCATGCCACGACACAGCATCGATTTCAAACCCAACAGGAATCCTTTCAATTGCAGTAATGGACCTAGCATTCTCCAAGCCATTGAGATGAGGTATCTTTCAGAGAACATTTTGGCCTATTATATAACCATATTTTTTCATCAACAGTGACACTCGCATGCAATCTTGTGCATGCACAAGGTCTTCTATCGAAGAAAATTGAAACAGGCCAAGCAAGTCGCACAAAGTAGGTAGTCACGCCGGCTAGACCACAAAGAGCCACAAGAAGGCAACAAAGAAGCAGCAAGTGAGGACCACAAAGGCTCGGATACCTCAGCAGCTCAACAGCTCGGATACCCTATCTTGTTTTGCCTCATCTCAGCATACGTAGCCAATGTCCTAGTATTTTGTGCGTATGGTTTGCCAGCTAGTCGAATCTTTGCTCAATGGTTTGCCAATGGTCTTCCGGGGGTTGCTGCTTCTCAGCACCCTTGCTACCTCCGAGACCGAGACACTGCTTTTCTTTCCGCTTGGCGGGGCCTTCTATATTCTGATCCACCAGGACAGCACTCTCATCAAGTGGGTCGAACAACTCCCCGTTCTGTCCTGTGGGAAAAGGATGACAATCTGTGGGATAGGGACACCTTCTTTCAAAACTCTTGGACGAACATGGATGAAGACCAACTATTTGAACTTGGCAGCCCATCGGACAACATTATGAATGATCATTATGATTAATCAGTACGATACCAAGGACCGAAGATGACTTGAACATGGACTGCCTGCCAACGCCTGCGGCTTTGAGAACCGAAAGCAACTTGAAGGTGTCCTTTGCCATTGAGACTTCCACAATTGCAAAAGGTAGAAGGGGCATGCAACATGGCTCAGGACTTATGAGGATGCCGACCTTGAGCCTTTGCTGGAGCAGCTATCAAGCTTTGCTTGAAGTAACAGCCCATCCTCTGCCTCACTCATAAGGTTCGTGTTCTGAGATCAAGCCTCCTCCAATAGGACCACGATGACCATAAACTATCAGCATCTTGTGTGAAAAAACAATGTATCATTTGACTTTACAGCTGCTTGTTGACAAGGACATGTAGGAGTACTAGGCTTTGTTTGAAGGAAGTGTGAATCTGTGCCGCTGGGCATAGAATGAACAAACCACTTTCCGATGGTTGGCCTGTACCACCCGAACCACAAGGACACAAGTGTCACGCATTTTTTTTGCATCTTTCGTATTCCCAAGTTATGTCGCCTTGAGCGAAAACATGCAAGGTCCAAGCACCAATCTTAACTTGAACTGGGCTGGGTCTGCAATCTTAACGATGGACGCTTGGGACCAAAGAGAGCTGAATTCTGTGTGCTCTCAAAAGTTCTTAAATAGGCCTTTCGCCTCCATTGCTTCAGTCCACACAGCTGACCTCAGCTATTGACATTTTCGTGTGAGTCAAATCATTTATACAAACCAACATCAACGCAACATGTTGCCCGTCGTCATGGTGTACTTTCAAGGCACCCCAGGTCCATGCTAACTTTCAAGCATCAAATGCAACGTCAGAACCTGTTGCTCTGCTCGGTGTTCAAAGGTGTTCAGAAAACGATGTTCAGCATCACTAACTAGCTAACTCTTGGGCGCAAGAATCTAAGTTGCCAACCAAGGTGGCTGAGAGCACGGGACCCTGCCTTTGTAAGGCGGAAAAATGCTGTCAATCGCAGAAATTTCCGCACAAATCAACTGTTTCAACCAAATGAACTCAAGCCCCTACCAAAATTCTAGCTACCCCAAGGTCTTCATGAGCAACCTCCCATAGCAAAAACCACAAAACAAATGAACGAACCTACAGAATAATACACACAATATGCTATAACCCCCAAAACCAAAAATTTCCTCTGTGACGGACAAACATTGTAGTCAAATCGCCATTGTGCATTGTGGACTCGAAGAAACACCTGGAGAATGGATTGAAATCAGGTCAGCGGTTGCTCTTCATGAGACTTCTTGGTTCTCTTTGTATAGTGTTAGCATAGGAAAAGTCACCTCACCCAACTAATCAAACCCATTTCGAGCCCTTAGTGCTCAACTACTTTAGAACCTAAATTCCACCCCCTTTTAAATTTTTCTTCTTTGTAGAGCCCCCTATTAATGAAGCTCATCTGCCACCAGAAAATTAAAAATATTGTTTTTTGATAAATTACGCAGCAAATCAATATATAAGGTTACTTGCTTACTTTCTCTTTCAGTTGGCATCCAATATCTTCCTACTAAAGTGAAGCTGATCCATGGTGAACTGATCTTCTGACCCCTTTGGCATGCCATCTGCATGAAATCACTCCAGCTGGTGCTGGTGTCTGCGTCTTTTTGGATGCGATCTCATCTAAATCATTCTCACCACCACCCCTCAGCTGTCTCAATCTGTTCACCCAGCCTTCTGACTGTTTCCCCTGAGAACTCAAACTACCAGCCGCCGGATAGAGCGCCAGAAAGAATGTCAGAAGATATGCAGAAGATAAGGTATGCCAGAAAGAATGTCAAAAGATATGCCAGAAAGAGTTTCAGAAGATATGCAAAAAAGGAATGTCAGAAGATATGCCAGGTAGAGTGCCAGAATGAATGTCAGAGGAGATGCCAGTAGTGTCAGAAGATGTGCCAGAGAGAATGTCAAAAGTTACGCCAGAAAGAATGTCACAAGATTTGCCAGAAAGAATGTCAGAAGGAATGTCAGAAGATATGCCAGAAAGAATGTCAGAAGCTATGCCGGAAGCAATGTCAGAAAATATGCTAGAATGTCAGAAGATATGCCAGAAAGAATGCCGGAAGAATGTTTCAATACATGCCATAAATCGTGTCAGATTGAAATGTCATGGCGGGGATCACTCGAAGTAAAGTGTGTTTTAATATCTATATATATTTCATTGAGTTTTCACTTCAAGAACTATTAGTGAATACGATATACCGTATTATAAGTTATAGATTATCTACTTTAAAGTGAAAAAGCTGAAATACACAAAAGAGTGAACAAAGAGGTAAAATCAATCATTACAGATGGCCCAAAATTCAGGTATGACAAAGACAATACAAGCAATACATGAATATAGTTGCTTTAACGACAGTAAATCACACTAAAAAGCAAGAGATTGCATAGCATTAAGGGACATCAATCTTGCTGGTCTTGGATTCATGTGACATGGCCAAAGCATGTGTGCACGACTGATAATATTCATTCGAATGCAAATGTATGTCCCCCTCCACATCCCAGTGACAAAATTGTCGGTCGAGTGATGGGGGGTTACTATATATATATATATATATATATATGTGCTCATATTTGGCATATATGTATACACGACCTCAGCTTATTTTCCCATGCGTTGCAGAATGTTTGTCTAAAATTCAACAAGATTGTACTTCCTAG